CCCCGCCCCCCACCCTCCCGCCTCATCCTGCCCGGCTCATGAGCCCCTCTTCCTGGAAGCCTTCATGGGAAGAGGAAGGCCATGTCCTGCACTTCCGGTGGGCCTGAGGCCTGTCCCTACTTACCACTGCCATCTAACAATGGCTCCTGACCACAGCTACGCAACACAGAAACCCCAGCCCCTCTCGCAGGAAGCCCCGCCCCACACCCCAGAACCCTGATGTCCCAAGGACTAAGCATCACCTGGGGCCGGGGCTCCCAGAGCCCGTGGCCACATCTGCTGTCCAGGGACCTCTGGGATGGACGGCAGCTCACCTGGTAGCCGGAGGCCTTGACAGTAGGGTTGTTCTCGATCTCCCACAGCCCCTCGCTGAACCCTTTCCTCTTGTTAGGCTTGCCAAACTTCTCCTTGGACTCCTCATAAGGGAAGAGGTCTTTGGGGCCCAGGAATGCCCTGGGGAGAGATGGGAGACTGTGCTCTCGAGCGCGTTGCTGCCCGTGGGCGGCACAGCCCGATACAGAGGGGCCGCCGTCACCACCTCACTCCCTGAGCGGTCCTCCCAGGACGGGACCCTCCCAGCCACACCTCACTGCCCCGCACTCACGTCTCGTGGGTCCCGAAGAAAAAGACTTGGTACTTGTTGGCTGTGGATTTCACGGTGGCCTCGGGCATCTCATCAATCTGGGGTAAGACAAGGAAAGTGAATGTTAGCCGCAGGTCCCAGGGCAACAGAGATGACAGCACGGACCTCAGAGGAGCGGCCCCCAGAGACCACCAGACCAGCTCACAAACCATTCTCAGCAGCGAACTTTGTTCAAATTAAGTCAACACAAAACCCAGAGTCCCTTGCTTTCACAGACAGCCAAGTATCTTCCCCAGGATGTCCGGGGAACGTGCCCCTTTAGTTTTTTTGAGATGGGGGCTTGCTATAATGCCAGGCTGACCCCCAACTCACAATCCTCCCGACTCAGCACTGCCTGGAGTAAAACCACGGCTCCAGCTCCGCTCTTGGTTTTCTCGCCTGCCCCACTAAAATGTCCAAATGCTGACCTGTGTATTTCACTCCCTTTCAACACCTCATCACCAGGGCCCACCTGTCCCATCTCTCCCCCACAACAGCCGGGTCTGAATCTCCTCTGCCACCTTCAGCTGTTAACCAGACAGCTTACTAAACCTCTGCCTGTTAACAGGACGGTCTCTGCCCTTAGACCACGATCACCATGCTGGCCAGGTGCTGCCCTCCCAGTCCTTTCCCTTTGTCAATGCCGGACTTCCTGCAGCCTCAGGGCCCCTGCTCCACCAGCACTTCCTCTAGGAAGTTTCCAGGGAAACCACTCCCTCACAGTTCCAGCTTGATGCTGACTCAGTACTCAGTGGATATGTGTGTGGACTACCTGGTTCCTGCCCACCCCAAGCTCAGAGACCAGCCTGCCCTTGTCCCCGGCACACAGTGAGCTCACAGTCAACATGCCCAGAAACAGAGCAGGCTGTTCTGGCTGAAGGTCGGGGGTGAGGCCAAAGGGCTGCCTGGTCAGCACCAGCTCTGACAGCCCCCAAAGCTTCCGAGGAAAACTCTGAAAACTGCCAAAGTAGTCAAATACTCTTGTTTTACAGATGAGGAAACTGAGACCAGAAAAGAAGTGATCTGTCCCAAAGGGCAAGTTGGCAAGGCCCAGGTCTCAGACTAGGTCTTCTGACTTGATCCCTAGCCCAGAGGTCTGGCCCAAGACAAGGGCTGCAGTGGAAATGGTGGGAGGCGCAGAGGTCTGAGGGCAGGGAAATGGAGAGGCAGTGGCCTGGCCAGCCCCTCCCAGGTCAGGGCCTGGAAGCTAGGCCAGGCTGTGCTGGGGGTAGGGCGGGACTACAACTCCCAGCAACACTTGTAGCAGCCCCAGTAGCCGGGCTTCCAGCCGAGGCCAGGTGGCCATGTTGACTGGGGCCCCAGACACAGACAGGAGACAAACAGGCCAGGGCAGCGATTACAAGGAAAGGGACAGGGACAGAGGACCCAACTGGGGGCCTGGGGAGACAGAGAGGCTGAGTGGATGGGAATGAGCAGAGACACACCCAAGAGCGGGGTGAGGCCCCGGCACGAATTCCAGGGGCATCTCTTCCCAGACTCAGGAGTCTCCAGACTTCTGGGCACCTCCCCGGTGCCCCGTGGCCTCCAGGGACAGAGGTCCAGCCCCTCCCCCCAGGAAGACCCAGCACAAACTGGGCCCTCCCTACCACCAGGAGCCTGCTGGGGTGTGAGAGCAGGGGGTGGAAAGGCACGCGGTTCCCCCCCCAACAAGATCCTCGTTGCCATGGCAACCCCACCCCACCCCCAGGGCCACTCAGCAACCAGGAATGTGGCTGCCCCTCCCCCCAAGCCCTCTATCCGGATTGGGGAGGAAGGGACACTAACACCCCACCCCCCCCAAGCCTGGAGTCTGGCACCTGGGTCCCCAGAAGCGCTGGAAACCACAGCTAGGGCGGACGACTGGGCGGGGGGATGTGCACTCACAGGGCCAGGCCTTGGGGGAGGGGGTGGAGGCTGGACAGGACACCTGGTGCCTGTCACCAGCTAGCTCCCAGTGTTCCTCTCAGAGGGGCGAGCAAAAACAAAATGAGGGCCTCCAGGGCTCAAGAGATCCCAGGAGATAGGGATTGGACAATAATAGCCCTTCCCCTGGCCTGGATCTGCTCTGGCTGAACCCAGCAGGCCTGGGAGCTGAAGGGCCTAAGGCCTGGGAGTGCAGCTAGGAACTTTGATCTTGGCACTCTCCATGCCCACACCTGGGCCAAGGCATTAACAAATTCAGAGTAAATGTGAGATAAAAGAAACTGAGGCTCAGGAAGGGAGTGAGGTGGAGGAAGGGTCAGAAGTGAGACAGGTTCTCTCCAGAAAGGCAGACTGCAAAGCACCTCGCTGCCCAGCTTCCCAGGACAGTGAACTTGGACAGGTAGCTGAGCCTGAATGGTGGGCCAGGGAGAAATAAAGAATGATGGAATTAAAAACAGATTGAGACACACACCAGATACACCGGCCTTGCTGACTTCAGGTTCCAGAAAGGATGGGCCTGGAGATAAGGGGCTGAGAATAGGGCAAGGCCAGATAGGTAATTAGAGAAGGGTCCTTCCCAACTTCCCACCCAGACCTGGGGGAGGGGTGAGAGTGGCTCGACATTCCTTCGTTTGTTTTTTTGGGTTTTTTTTGGAGGGGGTACCGGGGATTGAACTTGGGTCCTTGCGCTTGCAAGGCAGGCCACTGAACCGCTGAGCTAAATCCCCAGCCCTTTCTTTTTTTTTCTTCCCCTTCTGTTTTAAATCCAGGACATTCCCACTGAGCTAAATCCCAGCTCTTGGTACCTTTCTTAATTTTTGGTTTGAGACACGATCTCACTATGTAGTTCATGCTGGCCTTGAACTCACTATGGAGCTCAGGCTGGCCTCAAACTCACACAATGATCCTCCTGCCTCGGCCTCAAGTGCTGTAATTATAGGCATGTGCCACTACACCTAGCTTTTTGAGACAGGGTCTCACTAAGTTGTCCAAACTGGGCTCCAATTTGCAATCAGAAAGATCCTCCAGTGGTGAGATTATAAGGCATGTGAAACCTAGCCTGGTCCTCTTTTCTTTTAATAAAATTCCAGCAAGGCATGGTGGCGTATGCACACCTGTGATCCCAGCACTCGGGAGGCTGAGGCAGGAGGATCACTGTGGGTTCAAGACCAGCCTGGGCTACACAGTGAGTTCCAGGGCAGTCTGAATTACATAGTGAGACCCTGTCTCAAAAAAATAATAAATAAAATTCCACCCACCCAAAAAGAGGAAGAGGGCTGGGGGTTCACAGCTCACAGGGTTCATAAGGCCCTTAGGATAATCCCCAGCACTAGAAAGGAGTGTAGGGAGAGCGATCCCCTCTGCAGGGGTACTGCCACTCAAGCTTAAAGGAAATGCCTTTTCTCATGTTTTGGAAGCAAAGCGTGGTTCTTCCTAGGAAGGACAACATGGTGTCAGGGAAGCCTGGGACCCCAGTAGAGACATCTGTCTCCCACTTGTTGGTGGCTTCATATCCAGCCTGTGACTCAGAACCAGGGAGTCAGTGTTAAGCGGATCAGGATGCAGCCCAGATGCTGGGGACCCCCCTGCGGCCCCTCTGCCAGCCCTCTGGATAGGAGGCTCTGTGACCTCTTGGGCCTTGCAGGGATCCAGGCAGGGTCCTTTTCCTCAGGCCTGTCCCATCTGGGCTAAGGTCCCCCTCTGCATCTGAATGACACCCCAACCTGATGTCCTGAGGCCCAGGGAGGGACCTGAAGTGTGCACCTGAGGGGTGAGGGTCACCAAACACTGCTCCCCCAGCCTCAGACCACAAGCAAGGAGTCCTGGGTCAAGGGGAGGGAATGCTGAACACATGCTGGCTGCCAGCGGGTTCTGACCACCACACCCAGGGCTGGGCCATGACCCAGGAACCGGAAAATCCAGGGCAGCAGGCAGTGAAGACAGTTGGGGCTGAGAAGTGTGGCAACCCTAAGGGGGAGGAGAAAGGGAGGAAAGTGAGGAAGGAGAGGGCCCTGGGCCCTCAGGAGCTTTTCTGGGATTGTGAAACAGGAAAGAGAGGAGGAGGAAGGAACTCGGGGGGAAATCCCTGAGTCGAGTTTAACTGTTAAATGCTTGGAGATCCCTCGGCAAGTTGGGCAGGAAAAGGGAGAAGGAGAGAAGGTTAAGATGGAGTCACACCATCTTCCAGGCAGGTCCTGTTACCACGTGGCCCTTCAGGCTGCGCTCACAGGCGCTGGGTCCTCCCATGCCTCCTAGAATCACCCGTGCTCCTCAGCAGCAGAGCCCAAGGGAGGCAAGTCCACAAGGTGCCTTCACTGTGGTGAGGATTTGGCCTGCCTGCGGGGCTGTGGAAGCCTACTCCTACTCCCTAACCTTCACCCTTCAGGGGCTGGGCCTCTCAGGTTTGAGACAAGGCCAGGGGATGGTGAGGAGACGCGGCTTTGTTCTTTAGGGTTCAAGGGCGAGGTGTCTGGGAAGTAAAAGCCTCAAGTGCTCCCTTCTGCCAACTAAGTCAAAAGACAGGAAAGTGTGAGGCCTGACCTCTCCCCCAACTCTGACTTTATCTAAGAGTTCCAGGCCTCAACTGAAGCGACTCTGCCTCCCCTCCGGTCCTGGGGGCTGGGGTGAATAACAGATGGCATCCGCAGGGCCGGGCACCGCCTGCACTTCACAAGTCACCAGAATCCTCAGGGTCTTCCTGCCACGATCACTGTGGGTGCTCCTGCGTCCCTACCCCTTTGCCCTCTTGCTGACCCAGAAGGGGTTCACTGAAACCCACACTGCCGCCAACACCTCCTCCTGATGGCTGCGGCCTCTGGACTTTGTCTCACCCCAGGAGGGAGAAGCGGTAGAGACCTGAGTTCAGTTCTTGCCCTGCCCACCAGGGCCTCCGCATTGGGGCCAAGACGCCAGTTGAACCAAAGGGTACAGGAGGGTAAAGTACAGAAGTGTTCACACGCCACGCATACACGCACAGGCGCAATGCTGCTTGTACGGCCCCTCGGGAGGCCCTGGGTTCGGGCACAGCCCTGCTCCCTACGCTTCTTGCTTGGTCCAAGCGAGAGCTCCAGGGAAGAACTCAAGGCTTGTGAGCTTAGCACACACCACTCCCGAGAGGCGTGGAAGAGTTTTGGATTTTTCTGAATGGCCAAGTGGGCCTGATGTCCTGCACGGGACTCAGGTGGGCCAGGGTAGTTTCCCAGGCTTAAGACAGTGAGCTCCAGCCAGAGAAACAGCAACCTACCCTGAGAAGAGCAGCCCAAAGCCGCGAGGCTGCCCTCCCTCCACCCATTTCTACCCTCCGCTTTCCATCTACAGCAGCCCTACACTCCAGGGGGCTGAGTCATGCCTCGCCCAACACCAAAGGCCCCTCTAACCAACTTCAGAGCAAGTTGCCAGAGGCGCTGCCCCGAGACCTCCATTCTACTCCCGGAACTGCCAGGCCAGCCCTCCCCTAACCTATCCAGTCTTTGGGGAAGGCCGATAAACACCCAGCTCAGCGCCTGGGCCCCACCCTCCCACCTGGCCAGGTGCTCAGGGCCCTACCGTCGGCGGGCTCGGCACACCACATGGCGAGCCCGGACGGTTCTGGCGGGAGATGCCGGGGATGGGGGGGCGACTCGACTCGGGCTCCCCCACCCCCGCGAAAGCGGTCTGGACCGGGTTCCCACCCCCACATGGGGCCCTGCGGTCCTCGGTCCCACGTCTGCACTGGCAGCACAGGGAAGACACTATTGTAGAACTGAGGGCGCGGGGTGTTCACGTGTAGTTTCCAAGGCAGGTAAATCCTTCCGCTACCCCCACCTCCTCCTCGACCCTCCCAACTTCAGATCTCGCACAGACGGCCCAAACCAAAGTTTTCTAGAAGCGCACTCCGCTTCCACCTAGCCCTATCTGGGTAGGGATCTTCGGTAACCGTTCGCCCAGGAAAAGGAGTCAGAACTGGGGGCAACGACCAACGGAGAACCTGC